TTCAGTATTGATAAAACTTTTGAGGCACTTCTTTCCCTCAAGAAGTACACATACATATTTCTAACCAGCTCAGTTGCAAAGCATCAATAAATTCTTATGTATTGCTCTTTAAACAAACTGCGCTATTTCTGTAATGCTCGCACTGGGATATCTGTATTGCTGTCCCTAAGAGAAAATTTGTCATCCAGCACTTATATATGTGAAAATGGAAGAAAAAATAGCATATAGCATTGGTGTACGGTGTTAGTGTATGGTGCTAGTGTAATCTTTTGTCGTATTGAAATTGGCAAGTAACTTTGGAGAGCTATATTTACACACGCACACACACGTTTAATTGATATAGTAATTGCCTGACCTCTCAGGCTCCTCTTGCATGATGTAGCTGATGAAGGTATGTCTGGCTCAGGAAGTTCATGAGGCTTTTGTGCACTGCCAGAGGATGTTGAGTCCTTTATCCTTCTTGTAGTCTGCTCACTTGCTGCTGCAGACAAAACACCAGGTGAACTAGACCTTTCATCCTTTTCAGTGATCTGCCCTTTGGTTCTGTTTCTAAGAACGAGAAGCCGTAGCACACAAACAAACTGCACAGTGCTCAGTGCCTCAAGATCCTGTTCCTTCAACATTCGGTCTATTCTGGTTTGCAGTTTCTTGTAAATCAGTAGCACATTCATTGCACCAAACAGATCGATGCTAACCACTAAAGTGTGCAAGCCTCAACTATGATGTTGCCCAATTCTGAACTTCTGGTGACTCCAGCTCATGGGCTGATCCACAATTATCTGTTATTTTTGTAGCAGCAGGGGCTGTACAAAATCATGAAAATTATAAGACACTGTTATATACACTGACTTCTAAGAATACATCTTGCAAATATTTGTTTACCCATATTCTTTAATTCCTGGAGTTCTGTATACCAAACCAAACCAAAACCAAACCCCATCAAAACACAAAAACCCACCCAATATACAATGCAAACTTCCGCCAGATTCCTGAAAGGCTGTTCATCTGTGTTCAACTGCATCTAAATTTTACCCTTTGCTACTTGCTGTGTGTTGAATCCCCTTTTTCTTTCTTTCTTGCATGTGAAGGAAAATAGTTCTGCTTAACACAGATCCAAATCGGCTTTTTAATAAATGCATTAAAGAAATGGTCCATGTCAGCCCCCAGAATCTGCCACAGGTACCTATTCACCTTTTTACTAAACCTCCACCTGAAAATGAAAGAAAAAAAGAGAAAATAGGGTCTAAAAGACACACTGCACACTTCCTGCCATGTACGCAGAGACCACAGCCTGGAAATCCACTTACTCAGTGTAAATTCAGATCAGTTATATTGACTTTTTTTCCCCTCATGATATATTAGTGCTTATGAAAAATCTTGCAGTGAAAGCCCTAGGAAAGAAACCTTTTGTCCACAGACAAATATGCTTCCCATATTCTGCTCTATTACAACAGGCAAAAGAGCAAAAGTGACATCCCTACTTCTTACAATAATCACAAGGACAGACAATCAAGACATAAATAACATACGGGCTTTGGCTTTGTCATGGACATTCTTTAGCCCTAATTTAGTGTTATCTGCACCCATTTATCCTCTCCTCCACCAGAAGTATGAACAATTATGATCAGTCCACTGAAAAATTGACTGTAACCCTAACATTCTGCCCCCATAAGCTCCCAACCTTTCAGTAACCTCCAGATCATTCCTACATTTAAGTTTACTCAAGCCAAATCTCCCTGGGTTGTTGTTGCTTTTTTCTTTTTCCTCTTCCTTTCTTCTTTTCTGCTTTTATTTCCTCCTTTCCCTTTCCTTTTCGCAATCACTTACCAAGCCAAAAAGAGATTCAAGAGACCAATGATGGCATCTGCAAACAACTCAAACAACTGCATAGAAGGAAACAAAGCAGCACAGGATCAGAGAGGCTGTTATATGTCAACGCAGTAAATACCCACAGTCAAATTCTCAGCTGGTGTAAATCAACCTACCTCCATCTGGTTTTACAAGGGAAGTGCATCCTAATGCTGAACACACAGTAGAAAAACCTTATTCATGTTAAACGATGGCATTTTAAATAGTAGAGAGTATTGACCCTATCTGGCACCTATTTTAATTGATGGCCAAACCCTCATCTCCCCTGATAGGAAACAGCCAGGAGCACACTGCTTCTGAGGATGTATGGGTCCTTAATACCACCTCAAAGCAGGGAGCCTCCTCCTTTTCCCATCTCTCTCAGGGGTCCTGGAGACATTCCCAGGAACAGCAGCAGCAGCCATGGTTGTGCACTGCTGCATACACAAGGAAAACTGAAATGTGGAATATACTGCGCACTCTATAGCAGGGGATGGCAAGCCATAGTTGGGTTCTCCTATTATATCAGGTAAAAAACATGCACACAGAGATCTTAAATATTTAAAGTTTCCTATCATTAAACCACAACTGTGCCTCGCTTGTAGTAATCCAAAGCCATAGCTGCAGGGCATTTTTCAGCAGCCCAAGTCTGATGTTTGAATTACACAGATTCCTTTGAACTACAAGGAGAGCTACAGACATCTGCTCTATCAGTTCCACTATTACTCTGAGGCAGCTAAACTAAGTGCCAAAGAGTTCCTCTGATGGCACACAGCCATCAGCACCATGGATAAAAGTGTGGGTTCAAAACATCAGGAGTCCATCAAGTTCTGATGGTCAAGGGTTAAAGATCTAACCAGTGTTTTCATTATCCAGATCAGTAAGAGAGAGAGGGTGGCCAAAAATGTCTTCATAGAACCACAGAATGGTTTGGGTTGGAAGGAACCTTAAAGATCATCCCGTTTGAACCCCTTGCTATGGGCAGGGACACCTTCCACTAGACCAGGTTGCTCAAAGCCCCATCCAGTGTAGCCTTGTCTTCTCATATATTTATGTACATTGATTTCTGAACTGACTTTACAAATGGCTGATCACAACTGCTTCAGCAAGGAAAGATTAGGGGTCCAACCTCCATCCCCCCACCCTCACAAATACTTAAGGAAAACGCATCCTACTGCCAGAATGCAGACCAGTCTCCAATCTGCCGTCTTAAGAAAGGTAAGGCAGACATTTCTTGGGAAAAAAAAAAAAAAAAAAAAGGAAAAATAAAGATAAAACATGTATTTTGAGAAATATTCTAAGTGTCATTGCCAGCCTGTTGTCTTCTATTGCAACCTCTACTTACTGCTTTTTCTTGCTGTTTTCCCAAAGTGTACGCACTTGATTGTCTGCCATTGCCAGTCCCTCTAGAACTGAGTGTGGCATGCAAAGCCCCATTCAAAAAGTAAACACCAATTAGGAACAAAGAAAGAAATGAAACTCAAAAACTTGATAAGAACGGATGTCAATAAGCTGATGGAAACACTTTGGCATAAAAAAACATCATCTACATAGGTCAACATCGGCTGCAAGAACTTCCACACTTCCTCAAACGTCAACTTCTCTGGCTGGCTCATAGGTGAGCCCGGAAAGGGATGATAAAGGATTGCTTGGTCAGGGCATGTAGAAAGGAAGCAGAGGCAGCGAAGGAGCTGCCAGCTGCGTCCCCTGCTTCAGGAAGCTCAGGAAACCTTTTCAGCTAACCAAGTTTTCAAGGGCTCTGGGATTACGGCCCTTCAATGGATGGGGATGTTTGTTTCTTATGGGATGGCCTTTAACGATGTTAAAGGGCCAAGCAGTTTCAGATGACACACAGCAGCCCCAGAGAGAATAATTACTCAATCTCTTTTCCCTTACCCACCCTTCTTGAGCATCTGCAAAGAGTCTTCACATTTAGTCTGCAAATGCTAATATTTTTTCCTTTGTAGCACTTAATGTTCTTCAGGGCTTTTACATGCACTTTCCATTTACCCAGTGCTAAGTCTCATAATGGTCAATAAAGGCTAGTATATTAGCATGATAAACTCACGTTCCCAGCCATGCACAGAATTCAGATTGAATCAGAAAGTCAGCCTATGTCCATAAAAATAACACTATTGAGCAAATGGAGCTTTACTGCACTACACAGCAGATATCACATCTTTGGGCTGTTGTCAATTCTTCATATAAATACTTTAACTCCCTTAGACTTCATTTTGCATGTGATACAGTGAGCCTCTTCATAACCAAATATTATTTAAAACATTTACTGCCTTGTTAAATCTAACAAGTTAGATTTATTGGGATAGTCTCTTTCCTTAATAGCCAATTTAGTAAAACTCAATGTATTCATTGATGGTTAAATATATAATAGGCGGTTGTTAAACTTTAATAAATATGTTTAATAGTCAGCTGGCATTTTCTCTCAATGGCAGCACTTCCTCTCGACTGCCAACAGGAAATGCTGCTTCTGAATGTGCCAATTCAGCCTACATGGAGGGAATAAATTGATCTAGAGGAGCAAATGGGAGCATGAATTTCAGGTAGCTTTTCCGTGCTGCTTGTCACAAGAGGAACTCTAGCTGAGATTATCTTAAGCTCCATCAAGACTGTCAGGTGTTAAATAGCACACAGTGTAACAGCAAATATGAGCTACTGTGTTTGTCTAGACTCCATACAAGCAACAAACCAGCACAGGAAGGGCAGCTGGCTTCCTGAAAGCCATATAAATTATATTCATGCATTATTATTGTGATATACAGTCTTACCACACTCCTTGTTTCATGCATATCATATCGCATTCTCTCACTCCACCCTGCCACTCTGTGTGTTGACAGACCAAACTACAATGCTTCAAGCTTCTACCTAGTACTAAAAGTACTCTTTAAAAGCTTTTAGGTACATCAGGAAAAAAAAAAATAAATGGAGGAGTTCACATCACCAGAAGATTAAAAACCTTTAAAAATTGGGCCCTCAACTTAAACTGTAGAACTTTATGGCTAAATTCTGCAGGTCCCAGGACCAGCAGCTATTTATTACATATTAATAAGAAAAAAAGCACCAAAATACCTTCAAGAGAGACTGTATTTGTACACTAGGCTTGGAAAGTTCCATCACAGCCATGAAACACTCACCTGGGTGGGATTATACAGTTCCTGGAGTGGGCTTCTGGATCCTTTCCGGCAGCAAATGTCCATCCCAAATGGATTTCTACGCATTACTGCAAGGGGAAATTGAAATTAATACAGGTTAGCAACATTTGTTAGCTGTAACCTACTGCAACAGCTACAGCAAAAGGAGATTTTCTGACAGATCATAGGATTCTAGACAGTGTTATATCTGAACTCCTAAAATTTACACTCCCTAGAAATTGTCCAAGAGCCAAATCCTTTCTCTATTGTGGAAGTTAGTAATGAAAAAGCTCTCTGGTTCCCCTCTTACAAAAGCTGTTATCTAACAACTTCCAGCTTGGGTGCAGAAAAACTCAAGCACAGGAACCAAAGCAACACAATTTGCAGCCGTGCTAGGTACTTGTTTCCCTGATCATCCCGGATGGATTCCTATAATTGGCAACTCTGCAACGTTTGAGCCTCTCTCAGCCTAAATACAGAAGTACACGAGAAACTAATATTAAAATATCTGATTTTAAAGCTTTTGGTCTAACACTTCCGTTTCTGCCAGAACAGGCACCCAGCAATACACAGCACACACAGTCAATCATTGTGGCACTTCATGCTCCAAACTGTATTTTGCTCTACATACTGCATTGTGCTCTACATACTGCAACCGAATATTTGGCTGATCCAGAAACAAACAAATGCCATGTCACCTAAATTGGAGACCAGGAGGTTTCAAACCAAAGGCTTTGTTAAAGGTCCGATCAAGGAGCATTTTGGATGATAAAGACTTCTCAGGAGAGACACTGATCTGAGCCCCAGCAGGCACAGAGATCATTAGTTTCAAGTTAGACTTGTGGCCATGAAAGTCTACATAAGAAGCCATTCCACTCCAACCATCCTCTACAGTCACAAGGAAAACAAGAGCTTGCCTATCTAATCTCTAATCTCACATCATCTTCTGCAAACACTCCTCTGTCCCCAGCTTGCTCTGCTAAGAAGCATCAGGCAATCAGATGCCCACATCAGGCATCACAGCGAGGGATGTCTTGTCAAGGTTTAATTAAGACACAACCAAAAGGAAAGAAGACATGTTCCTGCTGGGAATCCAAAGGCATTAAGCAGCATCAGGCATGCTTTTACCACTGCTTGCCATGTTTTGTAACCAGAAACTACTGAAGTGTCCTACAGCAACAGTTCCGAGCTGTACCACTTGCAGACACGATGTTGCAGGCTTTAAGCCAAGAGGTAGAGAATACAGTCATGTAATATGTTAATACAGAGGGCTAATACGCAATCATAATCAATACATCAAGTAGTACAAACCACAGAAAACTGTATACAGTTCCAGTCTGGAAACATAACAGAATCCTTCACTCACTTTGTATCTATTTTCCAACTGAAAGTTATTATCTTATAAAGTGCCATGTCACTCTTCCCCTGAGCAAAGAAAGATTCCATGGGTCCTCTGGCAGGAGTCAGACATACATGCTTAGCAAACAAACTGGCTAAATGTTTTGATTTTCTTCACAACTAGGACAGTAATGTTATTAGAGGATACAATTTTAACTTAGATGTTTAAATACCTGATTAACGTTTGAGCACTGTTAGTCATGCAGCCAGGTATTGCAATTCCTTTGGTTTTGTGCTAATGTGCCTTTTACATAGTTAAATTAGGAAGTGGTTAAAACAGTTAAATTTTTTAAAAGATTTTGCATAAAAGGATAAAGCATAAAAAAAGGACTACCATGGTTTAAACCCAGCTGTTAACTCAGAACCACACAGCCATTTGTTCACCCTTCCTTCTTCCCCCACTCAGGTGGGATGGGGAGGAGAACGGAAAGAATATAAAACCCACGGGTTGAGAGAACAATAATCTAATAACTGAAATACAATATAATACTGCTAGTAGTCATAATAATAACAAGAAGGGAAAAAATAGGGAGAGAGAATATAAAACTAAAACGGAAAAGGGGGAAAAAGAGCCACAAGTGATCCACAATACAATTGCTCATCACCCGCCGACCAATACCCAGCCCGATCCAAGCAGCTTTCAGTGCCTGGAAGCGGTTTCAGGAAGAAAACACCAAGTGAATGTATGAGACATCCAGCAGTTCTTCTAACTACAGGGCTCCTGTCCAACCCATCCCCGTTCATCATCCCACTCCATACTCTTGTATCAGGAACTACACCCAGGGATGCTTTGAAAATCATTTTGTAGCTCCCTCACCATTACAAGAAATCTTTCCAAAATGGAGCCGCCTTCCAGTCCACAGCAAACCACATCATATCCACTTGAAACACCACATCAGGGGGAAAGGGAGAGGAGTTTCAGTGTACCCAGGTCATCAGGCTGCAATTAACCTGGATCCTGAAACACCGATGCTTTGTTCCAAAATAAAGAAGAATTCCAATGAGGTGTTCCCTAATTTATTACTTCACTTTTCATTTCCATTAAATACAGTAAACAGTAACATGCATAAATATATCCCTTCCTGCTTCACTAAGCCAGCAGGTATCAACACAGCAACACTTTATATGCAGCACTAACAGCCATAAAGACTAAATTATTTGCACAACACGCAAGATTTGACTCCCAGATGTAAACAAACAAACCAAAAAAGCAACCGTCTCCCCACAGCAAAAGCTAAATACTAATGCAGAACCTTAGTCACAGAAGCCATTAAATCTTTTTTATCATTCCCAACATTACTTAATTGGTTTGTTTATTCAATAAAGCATTTAGAGTTAAGACTGCAGAGTTAGCATAGCAACACAGCAGCTCAACACAGCAGTCTGTTTCCTGCTCATCGGTGTCAGGGACAGCGCGCCCTGTACACAGCACATCTGCACACAGCACATCTGCACACACCTGGCACATCACTGCAGCATTGAAACAAAGGGGAATCCTCCCCTTTCCTCAGCAGAAATCCCACTGCACCTTTTGCAAACTTGTCCTTAGGTGAGTAACTACCAGGAATGTTTATATATAGTTCAAACCACTTGCTGGCATGCCTGTGGACAAACTCGCCTCCCAGGGCTCCTGCAACTTGTTTTCTATTGTCTCAGCTTCTCTGAGGCAGTATTTCACCATGCGAATGACATGACCTTTCGGGCCTGAATTTCACCTATAGCAATTTGCAGTAAGAAAGCCGTAATATGGACGTCAACTGCAGCGATACTAATTTTAACAACACTTTCGCTAAGAATCTGTCTCACTATCGTAGCAGTAAAAATTAAAAAATAAATGAAAATCAAGCCCTTTATCTTCACCAAATCTTCCTATTAGCACAGTAAATATCAGAATTCACATTTTATGGCTTGGACTGATCTCTGTACATAATTACAGTTAATTATAATCTAATGATAAGCATTGCATATGCATGGCTCCAAGAACTGATTGTAAGATCACGATCAGGCACGTGAAGTGCGTAAAGCAGCTGACAGAGAACCACAGAACTGTTAGGTTGGAAAAGACCTTTGAGATCAGCAGAATTCAATGCCTGTAACGATTTAAGAGTAACGTTAATACTGCAACTGCAGCAGCATCAGCAGCCCCCTGAATTTAGCCAGGACTGTGAGCAACTGAGTAAATTGTTAGTTTATTACTTAAATACAAGAGCTGTAAGAACAAAACCTTTCTTCCACCTCCAGAAATGATCTGCCCAAAATGCAACCTTGGCCCATCTTGTTGAAATCTGTGGAATCACTAGTCATTAATTTAATAGCAAGTCTGGAGAGCACGTTATCTAAGCACCACATTTCAGTTTCCCGAGAGAAAATGGTAAACAGTCCCACTGAATTGAAAGCTTATCAACATAATAATCATCTGTGTATATATACGCAGACAGAAGGAAACTGCATGTGCAGGCCTTGAATTAACTCAAACCAGAAGTATCCATGCACAGCTTCTAGAAAACGCTATTCAGACCCGCTAGTACCAAGAGCAGGAATTTGACCTGTGAATTACAATGCACTCAGCATGAGAACACAGTGCTTCTCAGTCAAACCTTCTTCTGGTGTCTGTGCAGAAAAGAAGTGCAGATTTGGCCACAGTCTTGATCCATCTGATGACTGCAAATGAAAACGTAGGTCCCTCAAATGAAAAATGCCCTTTGGAAAGGCACAGTCTGGGAGCATCCTGAGAGCTTACAGGTCATCATCCAGGACACGTAGCTTTTTCACACCTCCTGCCATGGTCCAACAATCAATGGGTTTACAAGCGTCTCCTCTCAAGTCCCCCAGGTGCCAGCTACACTAGGTTGCAAGTGACAGAGTAAATTCACAAGGCAAGGCACCTACTCTATCTTGGCATCTACAAGAGAGGATATCAGCTCTGGGCTGCATCTAGGCAAAAATGCAAGACAATAGTGGCTAGAATAACTGGGCATAGGTGTAGAGGGGGAATATACAGGCAAGCAGGTATGGTATAAAGCCTTAATTTTTTTGTGTGATATTTCAGAGACTGAAGATCACTCATGTGGAAATATGCAGGCAGGGCTGAAGTTTTTACCTCTACTTGGCAGAAGGCACTTCTAATGCATTGGGTAACCCTGTCCCAGAATGGAAGACCTCTGGTATTTCCACAGGATAAACAGTGACATGAGAAAATACTAAAAACCAAGAGGCTCCATAAACGTAATGTCTGCTACAGGAGCTACAGAGAAGCTGAGAGAGGGGACGTGGTGGCACTTCTCTTGGGAGATTACTGGCCTGAAGAGGTATGTGAAAACTGGGATTATCTACACAGAAAAGAAAGGGGGGGCGGGAAGAAGTCATGGGAACCAAGACTCCTGGAGACTTAAAACAGGTCGCCTTCTCACCAAGTGTCAGAAGAGCAAATTAAACCATTTCTCACAAGCCTATGTGGGATCAACTCACAGAGGAGACTCTGCTGGAAGAGACTCACAAAATAATTGTCACTTCTTCCAGTGGACTTACAGAGACAAACAAGTGACATTTCAAATGCGGCATGCGTGCATTCAACAGCCACCTATATCACTACCATCCTACAACCCTGTAAATGTCAGAGGCTCCCATTTCCAAGGCTTCTGAACAGTAAAAGTCCCCCAACTGCTACCTAGCAACTTTTTTTCGTACTTGA